TCTGTTGCAACATGGAATTTGTTCCTAAGTTAACATGTTACTTATAAGGTGTTAACATATTAAGTTAACTTTCTGTTCTGCTGTATTTTCAAGAATTGGAATTTTCTAAATGTTTTTTTGTTTCATCTTTTGTAATTTCTAAACAGTTCGGAATAAAAATTGATACAATGAAAGGTTTTTTAAGCGCTTTTTTGAAAGATCTTATGTGGTTATTAAATACTTTTCCTGTTAGATTTTAATACGGTAAATGAGTGATGCCTTAGTTCCCCAACCTTTTTTATCACCGCGGACCTGTCACCGTTTGATAATTTTACCGCGGCCCACTGGGGATGGGGGGCGTTGATTGTTTATATTTTAGATTATTTTGATTTATTAATTTTAATTTAATTGCATTTAAACATGCCTTCAAAATAAAATACAGTTACACCAAAAAATAAATATAAAGTGATTTAACATTTTAACTTACTAGAACGTTAAATCAATGAGAACCCTGAGCTTGTTTCTTTGCAATGAGACGGTTACATCTGGGAGTACGAGGGTTGCTATTTATATTTCTGACCTAATAATGAAAAAACAAATATGTAGGATCGAAATTGGTTTTATTGTTTTTCAAAATATTCTCCATGATGATCAATACACTTTTGCATGCGTTTGAACCAATTTTCAAAGCACTTTTTCCAGTCCGATTGAGGTAACTCCAAAACATGCGTTTTGAATGCATCAACCGCTTCTTCGGGGGTCGAAAATCGTTGTCCACGTAATTTATTTTTGATGTGTGGGAATAAGAAGAAGTCATTGGGTGCCAAATCAGGGCTGTACGGCGGATGACCCATCAGTTCGATCTTTCGCTCCGTCAGAAATGCCTTTGTTTGAGTCGATGTGTGAGAGCTCGCATTGTCATGATGAAGAATGATTCGCCTGTTCTTCTGCTTTTTTCGAATTTCTCCGATGACTTCTGGCAAACAAATGGTCGTGTACCATTCAGAATTGACCGTCCTGCGTTGCTCTAACGCCACTGTTGCCACATGACCGTTAATGCCGAAGAAACAGGCAATCATTTGTTTCGATGTGCTTCTTCCTCGAACAACTTTTGTTGGTTTTGCCTCGTCTTGGAAGACCCATACAGTTGATTGCTGTTTTGTTTCCGGCTCATATGCATAGATCCATGATTCGTCACCTGTGTAGATGTTATACACAGCCTTTGATGTACCTTGAACGTATTTTTCCAACATTTCCTTGCACCAATCGACACGAGCCTTTTTTTGAGCGTTTGTCAGATTATGCGGGATCCAACGCGAACAAATTTTTTTTACGCTCAAATGTTCATGCAATATTTTATTGATGCTAGTCATACTAATGTCCAAAGACGCCTCTATCTCACGGTATGTCACATGACGATCTTGCTTTATCAGTTCACGCACAGCATCGATCTTTTCTGGCACAACAACGGATTTTGGACGACCTGCACGGGATTCGTCCTGGATCGAACATCGACCACGATTAAATTCGTTATACCAATTTTTTACAGTGCTGTAGGATGGCGCTTTATCGCTGAATAAAGAATTAAGTTCATCGAAGCACTCTTGTCTTGACAATCCACGTCGAAAGTTATGAAAAATAATGGCACGAAAATGTTCACGATTCAATTCCATTTTTTGAAAGAGAAGAACTTTTCAATTTACTGTCAACAACACAAATGAAGCTATAATGGTAAATCGTCTGCTGAATTTATGTTTAAAAATATCAAACTTTCGATTAAAATCATCTGCGGTCGCCTAGCAATACTTACTGTTGCCAAGGCCAGAAATATAAATAGCAACCCTCGTAATCGGGGACAATGATACATTACAAACATTAAAAAATTTATGTTACTACCTTCGGGGGCACCTTTTTTTTAAATAAATAAAATTTTAATGGAACACAGATATTTTTAATTTGGAGTATAAACCTAGGAATTTAAATTCAGTTTCAATGAAATAGGCAGCCCAGTACCATTTGATCCATGGGTCCGGACCGGTCCGCGAACACTGCCTTGGAGAACACTGCCTTAGGTGACTGCGCCACATAAACGCCATAGCGCACCCAGAAATTTACCATCTTCAGATGTCCTAATCTTTCCTTCTTTTATATTTTTAATTGTGCCATTCTATTCCATTGCAAAAGATGCTAAGTTTTCCTGATTTATTTAAGCAGTTTGCAATAAGTCTGGAGCAGAGAAATCTTTTTAAAATTTTATTGTAATTAGCCTAATCCAAATTCAATCTTACTGAGTAGTTCCTCGCTCGAATCCTAATTAACCTAAAGACATATAGGCCGATTGTAATGTTTCTTAAAAAACTGAACTATTAGAAAATACCGAAGATTTTTAAAATTTGCATGATGTCAATTTCGCTAAATGCCGGTAACAATTGCAAAGAGCAGGTAAAAGCATTGACATATGTCGTAGGCTTTTTATTATAGTATTTTGAAAACTGCCGTCGTCATTTTTTAGGCTTAATGCAGTGAACTACGTAGCTTTACACCTGTAATTTGCGAAGAGCTGGATATTCCAATTAGCCTATAGCATAATGCACGCTGTTGGAAATTCTCGAACGCGTTGAGCTTTCCACTCAAAAATAACTAATACACAGTTATTGATTAATTTTTCATACTCATGTTTAGCATTAAAAATACATTCATAGTCTTGGTTATTTTTATTAGGCTTTATTCGAATTTGCAAAGCCGTATGTATATGGTAAAAACAAAACTTATTTCATCGTTGACAGTTTATTATTATGTAAACTATCGTATTATTATGGTTTGTGAGTTGTCCCCTATATCGCTTGTTCTATGGTTTTAAGTCACATTTTATTCTAAAAATATATCATTCCCACAACCATGTAGTCAAAAGTTTCTGAAAATGCACTTTCTCTGTACTTATAATCTTCTATAATCGGATTGAAAACTACGGATTATTCCTTCTTTTAAAGCTGGCTTTTCAGTAAGCCCTGAATTATGAATACCTAGTTTATGGAATGTAAATTTGTCTTCCCTAATGATTAGAAATGCATCTATTAATTTACGATAAGTTTTGAAATGTATAAGAATTAGTTTCTGCGGAAATGAAATTTAAATCTTACTTGAAGCGATACTTACTTAGGCGATATTTAATATTCGATTTCCGAAAAGTATTTGTTGTCTTTATAACTTTTCCCAAAATCGTTTGGAAATAAAACCTTTTCCAGTTTGAGATATCATAAGCAAATTTGAAAGTTATTTCAAAACGAGGTTATTAAATATGTAGCTGATCAGGGTGCGTAGCGTTTTTAAAAAGTGCTTAAAGGTGCTTATTTTCGATTTTCGTTTTTAAAAAGCCATTAAAGGTGCTTTTTTCATTGGGTGTTTTTAAAAAGTGCTTAATTTTCCTTTTTTTAAATGAGATTTTTTCTTTACCATGTTGATTTTTGCTATGAATTATGCAGAAAGGCAGTGTTTACATTGTTCTATTCAACGTTTTCACAATTAATTCACCCCCAATCTATTTCGGCGCATCGTCAGTCCGTGGTGTATAAAAACGCCATTCGATTTACATTTTTCAAAAATTTTGACAATTGTCAAAAACAATGCCAAAAGATTTTGACATGACGATTAAAACCAGATAAAACCGTCAATTGTCAAAAACTTTCCAACCTTACCTAATTATATTTTTTTAAAGTGCTTAAAAATTTTATTTAAGTTCTTGAAAGGTGCTTAAAAAGTGCTTTTTTTGTTGAATAAATTGCCTACGTACCCTGCTGAAATGTAACTTCGAAAAAATTATTATTTAATACCTACAGTACAGAACGGTTTTGAAGCTATATTTTAAATCACAAATCATGTTCTTGTTGCTAAAACTATTTTTAAAAATCGCAATAAAACTGTTTTTTATAAAGTAATGTTTTTATTACATTTCTCCCTTTGCTTTAATGACTGGTAGCTGTTTATATTCTTCTTAAAATGTATTATTTTATCTCTGGTTTATGTAAATAATAGTCAACTAAATTCATCTTCTTTGGAGGTAAAAGTTCTGTTGAATTATTACTGCTATCAATTGCAGTTACTTCTATAATTACATTCTAATAGAATTTTTTTTTATCGTTTTGACGAAACTTTTTGTACTTACTGCTTACTGAACACATACTGCTTACAAAAGACGGTATAGGCTTTGACGATAGATAAAATTCAAAAAATATATTTTTTACTTATTGTGTTAGTGTTATTGCGTTTTTTTCTTTTTTAAAAAAAGTATTTTTTTTTTTATTAACCTGCATTTTATATCAATAAAAACATAAAATCTATTAAAATGAACATAAAAAAGTTCTTCGGTTCAGTATGGCAACTATATATGAACTTAATACGACAGCTAACGATTACTTTATTTTAACGTTAAAAAGTTAAAATCGGTAATAATTGCAGGAACAGATAAAACAGGGTGCGTAGCGTTTTTAAAAAGTGCTTAAAGGTGCTTACTTTCGATTTTCGTTTTTTAAAAGCCTTCATAGGTGCTTTTTTCATTGATTGTTTTAAAAAATTGCATAATTTTCCTTTTTTTAAAATGAGATTTTTCCTTTACCATGTTGATTTTCGCTACGAATTATCCAAAAATACACAGTTCACATTGTTCTATTCAACGTTTTCACAATTAATTCAAACCCAATCAATCTACTTCGGCGTATTATCACTCCGTAGCGTATGAAAACCCCATACGTTTTACATGATTCAAAATTTCATGATTTTTGACAATTGTCAAAAACAATGCCTAAAGGGTTTTTTTTTCTCGACATGACGGTTAAAACAAGATAAAACCGTCAATTGTCAAAAACTTTCCACCCTTGTCTAATTATGATATTTTTTTAAAGTGCTTAAAAATATTTTTTGAGTGTTTGAAAAGTGCTTAAAAGGTGATTATTTTTTGTTGAATAATTTGGCTACACACAATTTTTTTAAAAGTTGTGTTAATAAAAATATTTTTTTCTTTACAGTTTTAGGTAAACCTATCATTTTGGAGGGTCCACGTAACGCTACTGTGCTGTCCGGCTCAAGTGTCCTTTTTCGTTGTGCTGTCGCGGGCGATCCTAAACCCACCGTCTCGTGGCAAAAGAATGGTCGTAGTTTGCATCATGCTGGTCATGCCAATTACAGAATCTTAGAAAGTGATGATTTAAAACTGGACAATGTCGGCCTGGCTGATGATGGCCTTTATCATTGCATAGCAAGGAATGAAAAGGGAATGAATTACTCACTACAAGCCCGGTTACGAGTTGAAGGTGAGTTTCCTAATTCAGTTTTATTTATCTCTTGCCGTTATTTTCATTAAATTCGTTATTACATTTATGAATTTTTTTTTCAGTTGAATGTTCAGTTTTATTTATCTCTTGCCGTTATTTTCATTAAATTCGTTATTACATTTATGCATTTTCTTTCAGTTGAGTGTTCAGTTTCATTTGTCTCTTGCCGTTATTTTCATTAAATTCGTTATTACATTTATGCATTTTTTTTAGTTGAATGTTCAGTTTTATTTAACTCTTTCCGTTATTTTCATTAAATTCGTTATTACATTTATGCATTTTTTTTCCAGTTGAGTGTTCAGTTTCATTTATCTCTTGCCGTTATTTTCATTACATTCGTTATTAAATTTATGCATTTTTTTTTCAGTTGAATGTTCAGTTTTATTTATCTCTTGCCGTTATTTTCATTAAATTCGTTATTACATTTATGCATTTTTTTTTCAGTTGAGTGTTCAGTTTTATTTATCTCTTGCCGTTATTTTCATTAAATTCGTTATTACATTTATGCATTTTTTTTTTCAGTTGAAAAGTTTATTACTAATACAATCTTAGATTAATATATACAAAAGCGTAACCAAAGTTGAAATTTAGTTATTCGTGATTCATAACCTCCTATGAAGATTTTTTTCCCATGAGCATTATCAGTTTAATTACTAAATAACAGACTTGGTGGTTGTTCGTACTAGTTAAAAGTTGAAACATAAATAGTTGATATCGAATAATTGTTTCGACGAGCGACGCAAAAAGCAAGTATCCTATCTAATGAATATCTCATTGAAAATAAACTATTTATCTGGCTATTAATCTATTGAGAGATTCAATATCTAGTAATAGTTACAGAAAATAGTTAAGTAATGATATATTATTAATAAAACTAGTTTTGTTTTAGAAATATCCTTATCATCCGAACTCGTTTAGCTCGACACAAAGTCCAATCTTAACCATGTAAAAATAATAAAATCAATTAAGTAATAAAATCAAATAATCAATTCCTGTCATTAAAAATTTATGATTATGAAGTATACTGAAAAAGAGAAAATAATTCTATTTTTATCTCACGTTAAACGTATTACAGAATAGTGAATTCTGGTAATGATCGAAATTTATTACAATCATGTACGATCACGTTTTTCACTTGGTGTGTTAAAAAAATATATATTTCTCTTTTGTTTACTTGGAAACGCTATTTTTTTAAATTTTAATTTTACTTGTTTTCAGGTTTGTGTCTGTTAATTTGTTTACGTTGGAAACATATTCGATTGGCGATAATTTGAAGTTGAATTTTACTTGAAACATTTTGGAAGCAATTGATACTTGTATTGCCATCTCTGGCTCGAAACTTAGTTAAATTTGGGCACCCTAGATAGCTGGAAAGTAATCAAAAATTTGTTGGAATTATATTTTGTGACTTCTGCTTATAGTGGTTTTGAAATATAGTGGTAGTGAAATGGCTTATAATGGTAGTGAAATCGCTTATAGTGGTTGTGAAATTCGCATTGTCATCAAGCCAAGAACTCCTGTTGAGATCTGGACGCTTTAGCCTTGCTAGTCGGAATGTGGCTGACATTTTGATTGACGATTGTTTATAGTTTCATTTGCAGTGGTCAAGTACAATTGAAACTTGTATTATTATTCAGTACAGTCAGTATTCTTGCTGAAATTTGTGAGCTTTAGTTAGTTGAAAAGTATTGCATTGTCATTAGGCAGGGAATTCTTGCGATTCGGAAAGTGACAAAAATTTCGATTGCCAGATACACACGAGTCGATAAAAACATTGTAAAAAGCTATAATGTTTTTTTTTTTTTATTCACTATATTAATTATATTGTAAGCGTAAATGATATAAAAACGTAAGAAATATTTTAACTGAATTCCCTATAAATATTAAAAAATAATATAATTTGTAAAATATATAGTAATTGGAAGTTTTATATCTATTGATNCTATAATGCTATTTTTTTTAATTCACTATATTAATTATATTGTATGTTTTTTGTTAAGTATATATTTAGAGTTTTTGTAAATTAATGTTATTGGATCAATTAGTAAATGAAATAAAGCATTTTTTATTTTGAGTGATTAAAGCGTAAATGATATAAAAACGTAAGAAATATTTTAACTGAATTCCCTATAAATATTAAAAATTAATATAATTTGTAAAATATATAGTAATTGGAAGTTTTATTTCTATTGATTATTTATGTTTTATAATTCTACATTTAATCTTTTTTATATATATCTTGGAGCCAATCTACACTCGCTTACACAAGGAGCTCGTTTTTTTTTTACTTAATGAAGCCGCGCCTTTTTCTTCCTTTTATGGAGGACAGCTTGTTTTCTGAGTATGGTTTACTTTGTTATTATAGGGCGCGTTCTAAATATCTTTCTTTATTACTCTAGGGAAATTCGGATCATTTCAATATACAAGGAGAAATATTAGTCCTTTTTCTTTTATTGGATTATTGATTTTGCTTTTACTTGTCCTTTCTCTCTTACTACATGTTTGTTATTCGTATTGATTAACCAATATTGCTGGGTTTCTTCCTTATTTCGTCAAATAAGCATGCTTAAATTATACAGTGAAAATCGACAGTTTCTTAATTCGAATAGCAATAATTCATATTTTAATTCAAACTACAATATTTCTTATTTTAATTCAGATTGTTGTAATTTAATTTATATAATATTTTAATTCGAACAAACTGTGAGTTTATTATGCTTCTGATTTTGAAATAAATAAAAGGAAATATACAGGGTCCTGTCGCAATCACCTCCTTTTATACATATTTTTCAGAATCTTTGTCAAAAATGAAGTAAAAAATAGTTCGACATTCGAAGAGCAAATAATTAGTCAAACTAGTAAAAGCGAGGAGAGGGTTATTTGTTTACTCAAAACAAAGTTTTTTTTTTTTTTTTTTTTTTTNCATTTTTTTTTTTTTTTTTTTTTTTTAGAAATTTCTAAACCATCTAACAGTTAAATGCGTAGTAATTGTACTGTTGTGTTAGAGAAGAAGAATTGATTCTAAGATTCATATTAGTTTGGAATTTTAAAAAAAACTTATCATCGAAGTAAATTTTAAATTCAATCACAGCCATCTTGTGTCTATTTTAAATTATTCTGTAACTCCGAAATTGCTAGTAAAAGTTTTGGCTATTAAAAAAAACCTTTATTTTGGTCATTAACGGTAACATATACACTGAAGAACCATTACATTATGACCACCCTCCATCTATAACAATGGGCTCGTCCAGGTTTTCATGGTTTCTCGCCCAGGAACAATGTTTTCATGGGGCACATTAGGACCCATAATCCTCATAGAACAATCCCTGTATGCTACTTGAACATAGTTGCAGACCTGGTTCACCCATTCATGGCAACAGTTTTTCCTACGGGGAACCAACAGGATAATGCACCATGTCATAAGGGTCGAATCGTCGAGGAACATTCCACTGACTTTCAAGTCATGTCTTGGCCCCCAAATTCACCTGACCTAAATCCAATAGAGCATTTGTGGTCCTACTTGCAAAACCAAATTTGTGCTGCCACGCTACCCCCTCGCAATGTGAAGGAATTGCTGGAGCAGTTGGTGAGCGCTTGGTACCAGATATCTCAGACTACCTATCAGCACCTTGTGGAATCAATGCCACGGCGGGTGCTAGCAGTTTTGAGGGCTAAAGGTGGTCCTACATGTTATTAGCAGGGTGGTCATAATGTAATGACTCTTCGGTGTATATACACTCGAACGCAGCTCGCTGAAAGTTTGTCACCATCTCTGTTTTTTTTTTTAAAACTCTTGCTAAAAAATGAGAAAATCCGCTTCAAAAATGGTGTCTTTTTCGAAAACGCGATTTAATACTTGATTCAAATGATTTAAAATCATTCCTTTTTACGAGATTTAAGGTTGCGCTTCGTATATCGTATTTTCTCATTTTTTTAATCAAAAAATCACGTTTGCGATTGATAAAAATGATATGTTTAAACTTAATTGTGTCGGTATATGCTTTTTAGTTTTGTGCATGATTTCGTAGTGTTTATGAATAACGATTTATTGGTTATTAACTTTTCCGCCATCCCTTACGAAGAACGGGTATTCCACCAGTAATGAAATAAAAAAAAATTTTATAAAGTTAAATTTTTCAAGTAGACTTTAATGAATAAAATTATTTTTTTCAGACTTATGACGAGAATCAAAATCCGCATCACTTTTGTAATAAATTTCTATGACCACGTCAAACTTTTGTTCTATTCCATTATTTAAATTCCGATAACTTTAAATTTTTATTTACTTTAAAAATTAAATAAGTCGAAATGGGAAGTAATATGTTATCCGCTATTTCTGAAAAAGGGGTGGTAGAAGTTTTGATATTTAAGTATAAACCCCTTTTAAACTAGGGGTGGGGAAAGAATATTTTTTCTGGTTAAGACCATCTGAAATCTATGGCCTCTCCAGAGACGAGAAAAAAAAAAGATTCAGCTGCTATTCAATCTCAAACATAAAATATCCGTGAATACAAGCATATATTGCTAGATTTTTCCAAACTGGAATTTTTATAACTACATTTCACTGTATGCGGAATATGTTTGTTATTCTCATGCTTTCAGATAAATATTTTGAGTGCTTTTTCTACCACCCCACCGCTTCTTTTCCTTCTAACTTGGCTGTATTCGTTGTATCGTTTTCTTCCTCTCTTTCTTTCTTCTTCTCCAGTTTCCATCTCTATTTTCGTGGAAAAATAAAGATATCTATATTTTTGGAAAAGGATGATGCTTTTAACTGTGTGTATTCAGGAATCTTCTCGCGCTTTGTATGTCTTGTAATCAAACAGGCTTATGAAAATTTTTTATTTTACTGATTTCAGAATGGCGTATTTCAAACTTCTCAAATTTTTATTCGGAACCTCGTTTAAATTGCTTTTGTAAAATGAAATGGAATAAATATTTCGGTTAAATGAATTTCAGTTGAATGAATATATTCGTTG